GGCAATTTAAAATCTCCCAGCGAAAAATTTCTTTTATATTTTCAAATTAGAAAAAATATTTATATCTCCATTTGATAGTTTGTCAACTAAGCCTGGAATCTCCAACGCATACCTTTTTGAGATGAGCAAAATAGAATTTGGTCATCCTTGCCAACAATTTGCGAAAATGTACACAACTAAATTATTTATAAGACTCAGAATTTTTTATACTCTTAAATATGCAAACAAAGATTTGAAATCCTCGAAAAATTCAGACAAAACCAAAAGAAAAATTAAAGTTTTGTCCCATTTATAAATATTATTGATTTTTTTTCATCATATTTTTGACTGCTTTATATAAAAAAAAGTTATTTTTCTTTGTAGTTTGATTTCTTAACTATTCCAATGGTCCAACTAACGTTTTTTCGTAATTACAATAAATAAATTATTATCATGGTCCAACAAACGCGCACCTCATCGCCTTGTGAGCAAGCCGGTAAAGAAGCCGCTGCCTACATTCGTACCTGGTCTAGGTAATCTGTGCCATGGGACAGCGCCCTGCTTGTGACGTATAATCCATCGCATGTGTTCATCTCTTGCTAAGCGATATTGTCGTTGTCCTTGTTTTTCGCATCATAATGAGAGATAAAACAACAGAGGCACACATTTACTGTACCCTGTGCTCATCTTAATTTCGGAATTCTCGGAAGGTCGCTCAACGCCCGGTCGTCCAGTGTCGTGCCAACGCGGTTTGCGCTGAATATTAGATAAAATTAATAATAGGCATTGAGGAAAATATAAAATATGTAAGTTTTTTTTTTGTTTATTATACTAGGGCACTTGCCCAAGTGCCCTTACGGGCAAACCGCCACTGCTCAGAACGAGAGTTAAAAAAGGTTTACCTCCTAAGTAAAGAAGATACTTTCCTCCAAATCTTGGAAGAGAAGCTAGATTTAGTAGTAGTGCCCTGTCAAAGTGATAAAAACGTCAAGTTTCGTAAACATTTCTGGCAATTCTAGCAACTTTTGGCATCCTAAACATAAAAATGAAGCGCTATCTGGAGCTTTTACTTCCATGAGGAACCTTTGTTATAAAGAAGTTTGCATTTTAATAGCTATTCTAATAGTCCGTCAGATAGTGACAGGTTTAGGTGGCCCATTTTTGCATACAAGCCTCTAGGAGGGTTTAAAAGTACATCGATTTTAAGTAGAATGAAAGGAAATTTACGAGTGGCTGCTGGGGATAACACATGGAAAATTCGATTTTCCATAACAAAAACGAACGGTTATTTGTTGGCCTTTTTTCCACGCAAGCCGTTTTCACTATATATTTATATTTAATGCTGCAAGTGGCTAAAGGGTTGAAATAAGGGCGTAATCTTCTAAGGAAAAATTGAGATTTTGCCCGATTTTTCCACACAAGCCCATCGAATGTATGAAAACGTACGTCGTCACTAGTCCGAAAAACATATTTTCTTGAATGATCCGAATGTATAAGTGTATTTTGGGGTCGGACAATTTTTCCGATAAGGAAAATCGAATTTTCCATGTGTTATCCCCAAGAGCCACTAAATTTTCTTCTATTCTACTCAACATCGATGTACTTTTCAAGCCTGTTCGAGGTTTGTTTTGCGAAAATGAGGCACCTAAATGGGTCACTATCTGAAGGTCTATAATAATAAAGCAAAAATCTTGGATTTACAAATTCTCAATAATGGGAATTAGTAAGAAGTCTCAGAATAACCCCAGATGGATATTAGATAACGTAATAGGATTGTCAACCAGGGACCACTTGCTAAATTACTTTGATGTGATGGGATTACACAACGATTCCTCCTGATATATATAGACTAGGCATGAAGAGGAAGAAACCAAGAAACATTATCACATTATGTGACAATACTTTTTCGGCGTTTACCTGACAGCCCAAGTACCTACCACCCATTTTACTAGATCTTTTCGGTTTAGGTTTTGGTACGAAGCCTTAATTCCTGGGGTATGCCCTGGTATTAATATTGCTACTTTATTGGGTATGGGCTCTTTTAATTGTTCTTTTGAAGTAACTGTTACTACACCGATACCATTTATTATAACTGTGAACACCCAAAACTATAAAGTACCAACCAGTGCCACTAATATGCCTAAATAAAGTAACTGGGTGCATATAGAGACAAAAAGGTCAGGTCCAAAAATAGTCAAAGTAATTGGAACTGGGAACTATCATTTTATTGTTACTCTATAATAACAAAAACAATATAGTACCAGTGAATCAGTTAATATGCCACCCACCAATGCTTCTAATATGCCTAAATAAATTAACTGGCTACAGAGACAAAAAGGTTCCAAAATAGTTTCTGTTGGTACTTTACAGTTTTTGCAAATATCTTATTTTGACTTAAGGCCACTATAGAGTTTCAGAAACTAAGATTTTGCAACTTTACAGTGACAAAACTTTGTCGTTCTAGTTTGGCTTGTTTAGTAATACAGTTAATATCCACGAATATTACCAGTGTCAGCTCTTTGTATATTGTCCATTTTATTTAATCCAAACAGCTTACAAAATAAAAATATCTTTTTGTATGACTTATTTTACCAGATATGAAAAATTTCTTTAAAAGACTAAAAGGAAAATTCTTAAAAATAAATCATTTTTTCTAGACGGATTGAAAAGTATGGTAAAATATAGTAAGAACCAAGTTAGAATTAATTTTAGTACACCTACTTACCTTTTAATTTACAAGAAAAAGGAATTTGTGCACACACATACACACACGTTATTGTACGCGCATTAATTTATTTTATGCGCGCTGTTTTCGATCAGCTGATACCTCAAATTCGCAAAATCTACGCCTTCACACCACAATACGTTACCATGAGATAGTATAAATCGGTGTAATATTTAATTTCATAAGGAAAATTGGCCTTTTTAAGGTCGAACTTCTTAAATTGAATTCCCAATTTTGTAACTAATACCGTTTTGGAAGTTCTGAAGTTACGTAAGCAAAGTAAGTCTACCAAATATCGTAAGCTTATTTCGTAGACTTAATTTCTCTACATACAAGGTTTTTCTTGATCACTACACTTCGGCAATCAGTGGAATTTTTAATTCACTAAAAACCGTCGAATACGAGATAACTATTTTCCCTTATCCGTCACTGCTACGACTGTAGTAAACCTTATACTTTAGTATTAAAGTAAACCGTATACTTTGAGAAAAACCTTTCTTTAATGAATGACCGTCTGTTCAAAATTAATTTTCGTAAATCCGACCAAATTCCCCTGGGCTATATAAAAATTCGTATCCAGTACATTTTTGTGAATTTTTCACTTATAGCCAGATTTATTGATTCTCGTTGGGTATGTCGAAGTAAATATATTTTGAAAACAATAACAAGTTAGAATTCCTCCATTACCGAAATAGGTTTAATGTCTTTTTTTTATGGCTTGGGCTTGAGAAATATATTATATAAGTTTAAATTGCATTATCATTCTAAATACATACACTCAATCATACAAACTTTTGTCATAAACAAGAAAAGAAGAAAAATATATAGAAGAAGATAAGGCGAGCAAGGAATAAACAAGGAAAAACATTTCTTTTTGTATAGAAGCCCGTCAAGACATTTTTTTTACACACAAAACTAGGCCATGGTAAGATAGGTATATAACAATTGGGTTAAAACATAGGTTGCAAGACTAATATTAATTGCAAACATACTTTACTTTCATACACAAATTTTATCAAGAGGTCGTAATTTTTTTTTTTTTTTTTTTGATTAAGTGAGAGATGGCAAATATTAAATGGAGGAAATATATTATTTTTAATTAGATCTTGTATCAGTTCTTGAGATTGTTGGGTATAGTTTGCACAACTAAAGAAAATATGATTTAGATCGCTTTTTTCCGAATCTATAACATGAATTTTAAATAAATGTGCTGGATAACATGCATGTCCAAAATTCAATCTAATGATAGTTGTGATATACTTTCGAGGAAGTGAATAGTTATTAAACCAATGCACATTCGGAATTTTTGGTTGTATTTTTGAATATTGAGTTGTAGTGGTTTTGCAAAAGTCTGTCCAAGATTTTCTCCACTTTTCCATTTGATACATTGGATACATAAACAATCTCCTACATTTTGTGAAGCTTTTAGAAATATTAGCAATTATGAGGATCTTATCAGTATAGATCAGTGCTTAGATTTTGAGGATTTCTTTGCCTTTTTTAACAATCGTTAATGTTATACAACCAATTTATCATGAAAATCATAAAATAAGTTCCAATATTTTGAACTTACAACTAGAAAACTGGTCTGATTCTACAAAGATCTACACAGATGCTTCCAAAACTTCAACTGGTACAGGATGTGCCTTTTTCATCCCTTCTACATCTACAGAGAACGTTTATTTTTATTTAAACGTTTTATTATTTTAACTTATGGATTTAATTATTTTATTTATGTATCTTCTGCAGGTTTCCGTCTGTATATAAATATTCTGAAGTTACAATTATCTTACTGCTTTATACAGTGCTTATTTTTTCGTGTTAGGCTAGAATTAGAAGATATGGTGGTGGGACATTAGTCGAATCGAATATCTGTCATAGTGGGGATATCGTAGTTGCCACAGGTTCGTTGAGAAAGCACGGCTATGCCTAATACAAAAGTTTTGTATTAGTTTTACCATTATTGTTGTGGGTGATTTAATGTAAATAAATACCATTATTAGTTGGGTTTAATATTTCCCCGCCGTGATACCGTTGGTTTGAATTAATTATTGTATATAAATGTCCTGTATTTCTATTAACTGTACCCCTTTTTATCTAGCTTGTCCAGAATTTCTTTTAGGGGATACTTTCAAGTGCAATCTAGGGCACTCGAGGGCAGTAGAGCAAACTGCATTATCGAAACTGGCACCCGGGCAACCCTTGTTCTAGATAACAGCCTGGCGCCACCCACTACTTCCACTTTCATGCAAATGAATTAAGTAATCAAATTAAAATAAAATAAAATTCTACTTACGATTCATATTTGCTTTGTAATAATTCCAAAATTTTTGGTAAAACCATAACACATAAATCCAAATTCCATAATGAACTAAAAAAAAAGAGAAATAAAATTAAATAGGTAAAAATAAGCGTTAAAATGTCGATAATGTAACTTGTTAACAGTGAAAGTCCACTTTTTAATGAAATAGAAATTTTATTGCATTCTAATATAATATAAGATGGAAGCTAAATTGGTAGTTCACACCTTGTCGAGACTGAAGCCTCCAAGTCAATTTGTAGCATAGAAGTAAAAGGAAACATGATTTGATTTTAAACAAAAGACCGAAAGATGTATGTCACGTTTTTTGTCCGTACAATAAGTCAAAACGAAAAATGTCAACTTAAAATTTGCAGAAAAATTCAAGCTCTATAAGGGGACGAAGCATATTGATTTTGAAAAAAAAAAAAAAAAAATGTGATTAAAAATTAAGAGGTTAAGGGGAGTTGAGATAAAAAAAATAAGTTAAAAATAAACAGCGATATAAATATGAAATATTTAGTAAAAATTGAAAAATGTACTTGTCTAGTAGTACAAAATTCAAAGCTATTTACTTATAACAAACTTCTTCTCTACAAGCAAACCCTAAAACCTGCCTGGACATATCCCAAGTAACACTTTTAGGAGAAATAAGTTTTATTTATTAGGATTTTGTAAGAGCATAAAAATTAATAATAATTTTATTACAGTTATTTTTACTAATAATACTGCAGGGAGGGGGGTGGGTGACTCAGTGGTAGAGTCTCTGCCTGTGGATCCAAGGGTCCCAGATTCGAATCCCACCGTTGGCCGGGATTTTTTCATTACATTTAATTATTTAAAATTAATTCTGATGCCTTGGTAGGATTACCCACTCGACCATTCACTGTTGGGTTCTAATTAACAGTGCTGTTCCTAAAGTGGCGCTGGGAAACAGTAACAAAGCCTACACAGAACACGAGGCTAATAACCTTAGCAGTTGATGCCGATGACACCAAATTAAAAAAAAAAAATACTGCAGGATAAATTGAAATTAATACTTGGTTTTATAAATTCTTTTATATCTGTTTAAAAAAAAACTAGTAAATTATGCTTTACCGCTGTCCTGTAAGGGTTAATTAATAAGTAATTTTAGAACTATTTAGTTTAAAGATACTCCTAAAGAGGCATACTTTTAAGCAGTTATCTTAAGTAGGTTTTAAAATTTATTTTTAAAAAGTGTTTTAAGATTATACTTTAAATTAAATTGATCCCAAAATCTTTTAGGTACATTTTCTATAATTTTAAAACATACATCTTATAATTTATTTAATCTAGTAAACAATAGGGTCCTTTTAAAACTACATAGTTTTAATAAAAACTAAAGTTTGTTATAGAACATAACCTAGCTTTTCAACCCAATCACATTAATTATGTTGACTTTGAAAGATAAATTGCTCAAAATAAAGAAAAGTGGTAATTTCCATAGAGAATGAAAAAAATATATATGATAAGTATATGTTTCTCCTTCTCCTCAGTGTTTAACAAATTCATTGGGTACCATTGTTTAACAAATACCAAAGAAAACTTCCGAGGCTCCTAATATTCTGGAAATAATCAGTGAAAGAGAAAAATAGTTAATATATTATTACTAATTTTTATATTTTTAATGACTTGTTCATAGAGTAAATAAGAAGCTCAAGGGTGAGGTTAGGTTATGCCCATTTGATCGAACTTATGAATGTTTTATTGAGGTTTTCGTTTTTGCTATTGTTTTATGAAACGATTTAAAAAGTGTAGCAGGAACTTTTTAAAACTGGAGAGCCTTAAAAAGTATTTTTTTGCCTTATTAGTTTTATAAGCTAATATCCGTTTTTAGGTACAGACAGAACATAATGAGGAAATTCTACATTTTAAATACTATTTAACCACATGTTAAATAGTACCTGTCTGCCAGACCTGTACATAATGAATAGTCAAAAATAACTTTTGAATATTAAAATAATTTATGGTCAAAGTTCAAATAATTCTAAAATCTTTCAATTTTAGTGATGACGTAATTTATGTACCAAAGACAGTGATAGTGTGTCAATACCAACAGTGTGCCAATGACAGTAGATTTATTATTTATGATTGCATTTAACCACATAAACTCAAATTTGTCAAATATATATATACAGCTAATACCTTTTAGTTTAGGGTATATAAATGTAATTTATATTGGAACATGCTATAATATAATGTTATACAATTCTTGTCTCGCCTAATGTAATTTATGATTAAACATAAAGTTTGTTTCTGGTACTCCAGTAGGTAGCATGCGTAATTGAAAATGGTTTTCTGACGATGACAAGTATCCCTGCAAAGATAAATCTACAATACAATTTATATTGGGGGTTAAATAGTCACTCTCATGAAATAATTTGAAAAATACAAAATGTGATATTTTATATCAAAAACATATCAAAAATAAATGTAATCATTTTATAGTGCTATATATACGATATTTACAATGTTATTTTCTATTAAATAACTTTCGGTAAATAGATTAGAATCCGTATATTAATCCTTGTTTTACATATATTTCATATACAGGGTGGTCCATTTAACTTGAGACAGCGCGATATCTCAAAAACGGTAAGTTTTTCAAAAAAAAAGTTTAAATAAAAGTTGTTAGGCGTTACGGGGTAGATGTACATTGATAACTTTGACAAGGTTTTTTCAAGGTTAACTCTCTTTTTTTAATGGAAATATATATTTTTTTATTTCAGAATCTGGTTCCCTGGAAAAAAGCAAATAAGTTTCGTTTACAAAGTTTTTTTTTTTTTTATACGATTGCAAGTTAAGCAGATAAAAATAAAATATTAATTATTTTTCTAATTTTTTTAATAATTCATGGTTTGCGACAAATGAATTTATTACAAAAAACGTAAATAATGTTGTTATCACCTTTGAAATAAACCTGAATTATTCAGTAATCGGTTGGAGTTTTTTATTTCAAACAGTTTTTACTGAAAATTACTTCGAATTTCTTTATCATACCGAGATAAAGGAGCAGTAGCTGAAGAGACTTTGTTTCGTTATTAACGTACAATTCTGTAGTCATTATTAACTTGAAAATTGTGTAACCAATATGGAACATCTTTCGATCGCCCAAAAAGTTGAAATGATATTGCTTTATGGTGAATGTGGAAGAAGTGTTGTGGATGCCGTTGCTTTGTATGCGGACCATTTTCCTGATAGAAATGCTATATCCCGGGCGTCTTTTTACCATGTTGTAAAGCAGTTTATAGAGACTGGAAGTGTACAGCCGAAAAAAAAAAACACGACGAGTCACGGTTACTGGTGAAAATAATGAAATCGCAGTATTAGCAGCTGTTGCTGTGAATCCGCATGTTTCTTCTCGAAAACTTTCTCAAGATTCTGGAATTCCTAAAACCAATATTCTAAAAATATTAAAGCGGCACAAATTTCATCCATATCATATTTCGTTACATGAGGAACTTCATGGTAATGATTTTGAAAATCGAGTGATATTTTGTGAGTGGGCACGAAATCAAATACACATAAATAGTAATTTTTTCCTTTGTGTTTTATTTTCCGACGAATCCACATTTACAAACCATGGAGAGGTGAATCGTCATAACATGCATATTGGAGTGTGGAAAATCCTCGATGGTTGAGGGAAGTAGAACATCAGCGCCCTTGGTCCGTGAATGTATGGTGCGGAATTATTGGAGACATGTTTATTGGTCCGTATTTTATTGAAGGAACATTGAATGGGCCAAAATATCGGGACTTTCTACAACGACATTTGCCAGATCTAATTGATGATGTACCACTTCAAGTAAGGGCAGGTATGTGGTTTCAACATGATGGCTGCCCTGCTCATTATGCCATAATTTCCCGTGAAGTGTTAGATCAGCAGTACACTAATCGATGGATAGGAAGAGGTGGCCCTGTTGCGTGGCCTGCTAGATCACCTGATCTAACGTCTTGTGATTTCTACTTATGGGGCCATCTTAAACAAATAGTTTATCAAGAAGTTTCTACAACCCTGGAAAATATGATGGAACGCATAAGAAATGTTTGTAGAGCTGTCAACAGAGAAACTCTTATTCAGTGTCACGAAAGCTTCATGAAGAATTGATAAATGTGTTAAAGTTAATGGTCATCATTTTGAGCATTTGTTACATTAAATTTTTTTTGTTGTTTGATATGATAATTTAATAAATAATTTTTTGTAAGAAGAAAAACATTTTTAGTAAACCATTTCATTATTATAAAATTAAAAAAAAAAAATGTTATTTTTTATCTACTGAAGATGCATTTCTATGAAAAATTTCTTTAAACAAAACGTATTTGCTTTTTTAGATACAACAATATTCTGAAATAAAAAAGCTATATTTCCATTTAAAAAAAGGGAGTTAACCTTGAAAAAACCTTCAAAAAGTTGTCAAAGTAAAAAAAAATTTCATCATTACATCTCCCCCGTAACGCCTAACAACTTTTATTTAAACTTTTTTTTTTAAACTTACCGTTTTTGAGATATCGCGCTGTCTCAAGTTAAATGGACCACCCTGTATATTGTAAGGCCCATCATTTATTACGACCCAACTTGCTCACTTTTAACAGTGCTTTGGTGTTTGTTTGAAAATTGAGGAAATAATAAGTGTAACCAAACAAATTAAATACACTATATAATAATAATTAATTTCCAATGTGGCAGTCTTCCCAACATGTTTGCAATATAGGTAAAACATTTTAAAATTTAATTCCCTTAAAACTAATTAGTTTTGTAAAGTTTTTATGTCTGTCCCACTTATTATTATAATAATCTTAAAAAATATTTAAAAATGGTTTAATAAAATTCCTAATATACTCTTACGGACTTTGACTTAGGTCTAATTAGTTTTAAGATATTGTTTTAAAAATACTCCTAAGAACCGTTATAGGATTCTCCGTTTTACTCTTAAAGCAGATTTATAGCAGCCCTAAGATTATCTCGCGGATTCAAAAGTTTTATCAGTGTCTTAGAAAAGGGTTTTATGGTTATCTACTTTGATAAATCTGGAAATGTTACTTGGGATGGA